TAATGCAAGGCTGGATCCCAGCGCTGGATCCCAACACAGAGCTGGATCCCAGCACAGGATCCCAGTGCAAGGCTAGATCCCAGCACTGGATCCCAGTGCAAGGCAGGATGCCAGCACAGGGTCCCAGCACAGGATCCTGGTACAAGGCTAGATCCCAGCACTGGATCCCAGTGCAAGGCAGGATGCCAGCACAGGGTCCCAGCACAGGATCCTGGTACAAGGCTGGATCCCAGCACAGATTCCCAGCACAGGATTCCAACTCAGAGCTGGGTCCCAGCACAGGATCCCAGCACAGAGCTGGATCCCAGCTCAGAATCCCAGTGCAAGGCTAGATCCCAGCACAGGATCCCAGCATAGGATCCCAGTGCAAGGCAGGATCCCAGCACAGAGCTGGATCCCAGATCAGAATCCCAGCAGAGGATTCCAGTGCAAGGCTGGATCCTAGCACAGGATCCCAACTCAGAGCTGGATCGCAGCACAGGATCCTGGTGCAAGGCTGGATCCCAGCACAGGATCTCAATACAAAGCTGGATCACAGCTCAGGATTCCAGATCAAGGCTAGATCCCAGCACAGGAATCTTGGTGCAAGGCTGGATCCCAGCACAGGATCCCAGCACAGAGCTGGATCTCAACACAGGATCCCAACATAAGATCCCAGTGCAAGGCAGGATCCCAGCACAGGATCCCAGTGCAAGGCTGGATCCCAGCACAGGATCCCAGCACAAAGCTGGATCACAGCTCAGGATTCCAGATCAAGGCTAGATCCCAGCACAGGAATCTTGGTGCAAGGCTGGATCCCAGCACAGGATCCCCACACAGGATCCCAACACAAAGCTGGATCCCAGCACAGGATCCCACTGCAAGGCTGGATCCCAGCACAGGATACCAGTGCAAGGCTGGATCCCAGCACAAGATCCTCACACAGGATCCCAACACAAAGCTGGATCCCAGCACAGGATCCCACTTCAAGGCAGAGTCTCAGCACTGGATCCAAGTTCAAGGCTGGATCCCAGCACAGGATCCCAGCATAAGGCTGGATCTGGGTGGAAGGCCAGCTCCTGGCACTGGATCCCAGTGAAATGTTGCTGCCCAGCATGGATCCTGGCACAGGATTCCAGTCCAGGATCCTGGTGCTAGGCTGGATTCCAGCATGAGATCCCAGTACTGGATCCTCATGTAAGGCTGGGCCCTGGCAGGATCCCAGTACTGGATTTTGGAGCAAGGCTGGATTCCAGCACAGATCCTACTGCAATATTGGATCCCAGAGTGGGGTCACTGGATCCCAGGGCAGGATCCCAGTGCACTCCTGGGTCTCAAGGTGGGATCCCAGCACAGTACTGGATCCCACACTGGTATCCCAGTGCACTCCTGGGTCCCAGGACAAGGTCCCAGTGCATTACTGAGTTCTGGGCAGGATCCCAGGGCAAAACTGGATCCCAAAGCAGGGTCCCAGTGCAAGACTGGATGCCAGGCTGGTATCCCAGTGCCCTACTGGTTCTCAAGATGGGATCCCAGCACAGTACTGGATCCCACACTGGTATCCCAGTGCCCTACTGGGTCCCAGGACAAGGTCCCAGTGCACTCCTGGGTTCTGGGCAGGATCCCAGTGCAAGACTGGATGCCAGGGTATGGTCCCAGTGCCCTGCTGGAGCCCAGAATGGGGATCCCAGAGCGTTACTGGCTCCTAGGCCAGTGCCTGGAGGACTCAGCCTGTGGTGCCTGTACTCGGGGGGTCACCTGGGCACCCCCTCAGGCCAGGCCAGGTGTCCCTGGCTCTGTCCCTGACTGTCCCTTCCATCCCACAGCCCGAAGGTGGATCCGCCTGTAGCCCAGCAAGGCAAAGGAGCCCGACCGGGGGGCAGGGGAGGACTGGGGCTGCCTCAGCCCCTCCTCACCCCCCTCTGCCCCCCAAGTGCCCCGTGAGGCTCCGTCCTGCCCTGACACCACGTGGAGCAGGGCCAAAATGTCCCCGTGCCACCATTCCCACGGGTGACATCCCTGTGCCTGGGGAGACCCTGCACTCCCTGCCCACCCAGGGCAGAGGCCAAATCCATCTGTGGTGGGGCCCCAGCATCAGGAGCTGACCCATGGGGTGCTCCCCTCCCTGTCAGGGTCCCCTTGTCCCTGGGGGGGCTCAGAGCCCCCAGCCCCACTAGAGGACCAGAGGGACCCCTCCACCCCGCGCTCGACACTTTGACCACTGAGGTGAACACTAAGTGCCAAAAAAAAGGGACCAAAGCCAGGCTGGGGGGGCACTGGGAGAGGGGCAGGATGGTGCCCCCCACCCCAGGACCCCCCTGCCCTTTCCCCCCCACAGTGACTTTTTGTACATGTGAAATATATGGAGTCTTTTACATGGCCAGTGCCTGATTTGGGGGAATGTGGTGGGGACACAGAGGTAGCCCAGGAGTTTGGGGAGCCTCCCCAGGCTGTGGTTCTGTTTCTGGGGGGGCAGGGAGGGGGCACAAAGATGTGCAGGGACCAGACATTTGGCAGAGCTTTACAGTGCTGTTATTAAAGCTGTGGGATTAAGGAGAAGGGGGGACCTGCTTTGGGGAGGAATTGGGAGCCCCCCTGCATCCCCAGCCCCATTCCGGTGTGGGGTGGTCCCAGTTCACCCCATTTTTGGTGGCTGTGGGGCACTGGGAACAGATTGAAGGCTGGGAGGGGCTGCAGGGGGAGCAGGATGAGGTCCCAAGGGATTGGAGGGGCAGGATGGCAAAAAGGGCTTGTGGGGGTGGCCATGGGGGTGCTGGGAGGGGCAGGATGTGACCCCCAGACCCTCAGCAGCAGCACAAGGGCCTGGCCTCCCTCGCTGAGCCCCACCAGCCCAGGGATTAGCCCTGAAACAGGGAATAAAAGTTTTCCCTAATCCTCTTGGGGGGATTACCAGCACTGCCACACCCAGGGTGGGATCTGGCCCGGCCTCAGCCCCCCCAGCGCCGCTGCTGACCTGGGACCTTTTAATCCACCCACACAAACCCCCTGCTCCATCCTGGGGGACCCTCGGAGATGCTGTGGGCAAAGATGCTGCTGTCCGGCTGTGTCCATCCATCCATCCATCCGTCTGTCCGTCTGCCAGGCTTAGGCAGGTCCCACCTGCCCTCAGTGACATCCAAGCACCCAAGTCCCCAGTGCCCAGGGCAGGATCCCAGTGCACATCCTGCTCTGTTCCCGAGGGTCACTGGAGGTGCTGCAGCCAAGGACACTTCTGCCCAGCCATGTCCATCCATGTTGATCTGTGTCCATCTGTCTGTCCATCCATCCATCCATCCATCTGCCGCTCAGGGCAGGATCCCAGTGCACATCCTGTTCCCAAGGGTCACTGGAGGTGCTGCAGCCAAGGACGCTTCTGCCCAGCCGTGTCCATCCATGCTGGTCCGTGCCTGTCCGTCCATCCATCCATCCATCCATCCATCCATCCATCCATCCATAGGCAGGTCCCACCTGCCCTCAGTGACATCCAGGCCCCCGAGTCCTCAGTGCTCAGGGCAGGATCCCAGTGCACATCCTGTTCCCAAGGGTCACTGGAGGTGCTGCAGCCAAGGCTGCTACTGCCCAGCCATGTCCATCCATGTTGATCTGTGTCCATCTGTCCATCCACTGGGCTCACTGCCCGTTCCCTACATGAGCTCAGTGACATCCACCCACACAAGCCTCCAGCGCCGTCCCACGCCTTCGGAGGTGCTACAGGCAAGGACACAGCTGTCCATCCGCACCCAGCCGTCCATCTGTCCATCCGCACCCAGCCGTGCCCAGCCATCCATCAGTCCATCTGTCCATCCACACCCGGCCGTCCATCTGTCCATCCGCCCCCAGCCATGCCCAGCCGTCCATGAGTCCATCTGTCCATCTGCACCCAGCCATGCCCGGCCGTCCATCAGTCCATCTGTCCATCCGTGAGGCTCCAGCCGGTCCCTACGTGCCCTCGGTGGCACCGTCAGGCTCGGACGGGCGCCGCTCCCCCTGCGCCGCGGGTGCTGCCAGGCTCTCGGCCTGCAGGAGCAGATTGCAGCCGAGGAAGAGGATGGCAAAGGTGACGGCGAGGCAGAGCACCAGGACCACGGCGATCTGGGCGGCCTCGCTCACCCCCGTGTCCTCACGGGTAGCGTTCATGTCCCCCTCCTCCTCCTCCTCCTCCTCCTCCTCCTGGTCTTCCTCCCGGGAGCCGAGTGTGGCGGTGACAGACGGGAGGGTTTAAGTGATGTCAAGAACTGTCTGATCCTCCCTCCACGGCCCCCCTCACGCTCGCTGGCGCTGGGTGCCCCCCCTTTGCTCCGCCCTGGAGCCCCCCTGGAGGGGTGCAGAGTCCTGTAGGGAAGGGGGAGCCACCCCAGCCCCCTCCCGAGGTGCCCTGGGGGGCAGTTGGGGCTCCCCATTCTGCCTGTCCCCACTGCAGGCACTCGGCCCTACAGCACTGGGGAGCAATGGGGACCCCATGGCTCAGGAGACCCCCAGCTCAGCTCCATAGCACTGGGGAGTAATGGGGACCCCATGGTGTGAGCGTGCCATGGGGACCCCCAGTTTAGCCCCACAGCACTGGGGTTCCCCAGCTCCGTCCCATGGTGTGAGTGTGCCATGGGGACCCCCAGTTCAGCCTCACAGCACTGTGATCCCCAATGGGGACCCCCAGCTCAGCCCCATTACACTGGGGTCCCCCAGCTCAGTCCCATGGTGTGACTGTGCCATGGGGACCCCCAGCTCAGCTCCTTTACACTGGGATCCCCCAGCTCAGCTCCTTTACACTGGGATCCCCCAGCTCAGCCCCATTACACTGGGGTCCCCCAGCTCAGCTCCACAGCACTGGGGTCCCCCAGCTCTGCTCCATGGTGTGAGTATGCCATGGGGACCCCCCAACTCAGCCCCACAGCACAGGAGTGCAATGGGGGTCCCCCAGCTCAGCCCCTTGGTTTTGGATGTGATGGGGACCACCAGCTCAGCCTCAGCATCCATTCCCCCCTCCCATGGCTCCCACAGCCAGGATGTGACCAGGCTCCATGTGAAAGCAGAAATTCTTTTATTTTTGGGGCAGCTCTGGCCCCCCAGGGACAGGAGTGACACTGGGGACAGGTGGTGGTAAGGGACACGGCCAGCACTGGCTGTGTGGCACCAAGTGTGCTGCAGAGGGGTGGGGTGGGGTGTCACCCTGACCCCCAGCACCCTCTGCCAGGCCCCAGCACCCCTCAGGGCTGGTGCCACACGTGCCCTGAGGACTCACCCTGCTCATCAGCCAGGCTGGAGCCACTGAGCCAGTTCTCCAGGATGGCCAAAACCCCACGGCATAAACCAAGGAGCAGCAACCCCCAAATTACAGGCTAGGCCAAGCCAAGCTCCTCCCAGAAGCTTTCTGGAGGTGAAGGAGGGGAATCCAAGCAGAGTCACTGCCCCAAAAGTGTCACAGTGACCCTGCCTGGGTGACACCAGCCCTACAGCGCCAGCGTGTCCTTGATGAGCCGGCGCATGGTGGTGGTGACCGAGGTGCCCAGGGAGTCCGTGATCTGGTAGGAGATCTTGTACAGGTAGGGCTGCACGTCCTTCAGGCTGGTGTCAAAGACATTGTCCACCTCAGACTGGGTGGGCATCTTGGGCAGGTACTCGTGGCGGTTCATCACCTCCACGATGTTGATGATCTTCTCGCAGAGCTTCTCCCCCACCTTCTCACGGCAGATCTGCCGCTCCTGCTCGTTGGCCAGGTTCACCACGTTCACCTTGATGGTCCAGAGCTCCCAGGGAATGCACTCATCTGAGAAGGGCCACCGTGATTTCTTCTTCTGGTAGAACTCCAGGGAGATCTGCCCCATGCCGTCGGAGCCGGAGCTGCGCAGCGCGTCCTGCGGGACAGCACGGGGCTCACAGGGGAGCAGGGACTGACCAACCCTCCCCAGGCACATCCCACTGGGTTCTACAGAATATCCTGAGCTGGAAGAGACCCCCAAGGATGATCTAGCCCCACCCCAGCCCTGCACAGCACAGCCCAACAATCACACCCTGTGCCTGAGAGTGGTGTCCAAACACTCCTCGAGCTCTGGCAGCCTTGGGGCCATGACCAAATCCTGGGGAGCTGTTCCAGCACCCAATCACCCTGTGGGGGAAGGAGCTGTTCCCAATATCCATCCTACCCCTTCCCTGCCACAGCCCTATCCATTCCCTCAGTCCTGTCACTGTCCTGGGGAGCAGAGACCAGAGCTGCCCTGGGGATGGAGCTGACGAGTCTCCTCTCAGTCTCCTCCAGCCCTCAGCTGTTGTCTTATATATCAAGAGTTCTATCATCATTATAGTGCAAGGATTCTATACCCTCAGAGTTTTGTGCCTCCTCAATGTTTTCTGTAAGCAGTTCCTCTATGCACTGACTCTTCCTGGTCCTTGCAGTAGTCATCTGACTCCAGATCCCACCAATCCACTCTTTTATACCACTTGTTCTTGTTGGCCACAGGTGTGGCTTGTTAAGATCAGGCCTGCTCCTGATCTTTTAGCAATTGGTCCAGCTACAATCATTGGGGGATAAGATTACATTCTACACCACCTTAATTTACCCATACTGTATCCCCCTACACTCAGCTGCTCCTTTTAATCCACCCACACGAGCCCCCTGCCCCATCCTGGGGGACCCTAGCAGATGTGTGGCTTCCCCTTAAAACCTTTCATGCTCCCCGTTTTCCCTCTCACCTTAAACTCCCCCACAGCCTTGCGGAGCGCCCGGTCGAGCTCCTCGGAGGAGACGCGCACGTAGGCGAAGTCGATGAAGTCGCAGTCCACGTCCTGGGTGCCCACGGTGCCAATGGAGTAGGTGCCCTCCTTCTTGTAGTGGAACTTGCCGGTGCTGCGGTGCAGCAGGACGGTGTGGAGCACGGCCAGCATGGCCTCCTCCACCTGCCTGCCCTCCACCGACACCTCCAGCACCTCGGCGCGGCAGTTCATGGCAGGGCCGGCGCTGGAGGGGCCACAGCAGCGGCTGCTGAGGGGACACCAGGGTGGCAGGAAGGGGTTGGATGCAGCCTGGTTTGGGTGACAGCCCCTCTGCCACCCCCCTGTATGCTGGTGTCCTGGTAGCCCACAGGGACCCACCCAGGTGTGCTGATTTGAGTCCCCCCCCATGCCAAAAGGACCCAGGTGCTCTGGGTGCAGATCCCTCATAGCCCCAGATGTTCTGATTTGAGTCCCCCACATGCCAAAAAGATCCAGGCACCCTTTGTACAGACCCCCCTATAGCCCTACAGAGACCCAGATGTTCTGATTTGAGTCCCCCACATGCCAAAAAGATCCAGGCACCCTTTGTACAGATCCCCCCTATAGCCCTACAGAGACCCAGATGTTCTGATTTGAGTCCCCCACATGCCAAAAAGATCCAGGCACCCTTTGTACAGATCCCCCCCTATAGCCCTACAGAGACCCAGATGTCCTGATTTGGGTCCCCCACATGCCAAAACAACCCAGGCACCCTCTGTATAGACCCCTCATAGTCCCCCATAGCCCCAGGTGTCCTGATTTGAGTTTGGCACATGCCAAAATGATCCAGGCACCCTTGGTATAGACCCCCCCATAGCCCCAGATGTCCTGATTTGAGTTCCCCACGTGCCACAAGGATCCAGGCACCCTCGGTACAGCCCCCTCCCATAATCCCCACAGAGATGGGGTTGGTTGAAATCCCTCACATCCCACACACATGGGCCCTCCCACACACCTCACAGAAGCTCAAGGGGGTCCAGGACTGGGTGTCCCAAAGGGATCCAGATGTCCCAGGATGGGACCCAAATATCCTGGTCAGGTCTCTTCATGGACACAATACTCCCGAGGGACCCCAATGTCCTGATCGGGTCCCCTCAGAGACCCAGTACGCCTGAGGGACCCAAATGTCCTGGTCGGGTCCCATCAGGGACTCAATAACCCAGAGAGACCCGAATGTCTTGGTCAGGTCCCCTCAGGGACCCAAATGTCCTGCTCAGGTCCCCTCATGGATCCAACACCCCTGAGGGACCCGGGTGTCCCGGTACGGGCCCACCCCCACCTCAGAGGGGCCCGGGGGATCCCGGTTGGGTCCCCCAAAACACCACACAGGCCCAGACGTCCCGGTCCGAGCCCACCTCAGTCTCCCACGGAGCGCCTCAGGCTCCCTCCAGGCTCGAGGCCCCGGATCCCCCTCAGTCCCTGGGCCCCCTCAGCCCCGGCCCGGCCCCGGTCCCCTCTCGGTCCCTGGGCCCCCCTCACCCCCGGCCCGGCCCCGGTCCCCACTCACCGCCCGGGCCCGACCATCTGACGGCACGGAGGAGGGAAGTGGATCATCCCATCTGCTCGGGGGGGGTCAGAACACACCACCGGCCACCGTAGCCGCTCTTCCTACCATGACCACCGTGTTTCATCACTCTGAACTTGATTCCTTTAATATTTTTCCCCTTCGGTGCCGTTCCCGCTCGCGGAGTGTCACCGAGGGCGGAATCGCCGTTCGGAATCTGTGGATTCCCCTCTTCGCTGCTTGGTTCGTTCCCAAGGGGCCATAGAGCTGCAATGCCGCAGCCCGGAGCGGCTCAGCGGCTCCACTGCGCCCTCTGTGCTGGAGGCTCCGCGGCGCCGCTACTGCAGCGGGGCCGGTGTCCCCCGCTGACCCCTGCGGGGACAAGGCGACAACGGGGGGGACACGTGTGGGGACACCGGACACAGGGGCATAGGGGCACGGGGGACACCTGGATATGAAGGGACACAAGGATGTGGGATAGCAGGACCATGAGGAAATAAAGAAGGGGGGGACACAGGGACAGATGGACACAAGGGACAGCATGACACGGGGATATGGGGACACAGGGGGATACTGGATAAGGGGACATGAAGACTAGGGGGACAAAAGGACAGTCTGACCCCTGCAGGGACAAGGCAACAAAGGGGGGGACACTCGTGGGGACACGGGACAGACGGGCACAGACGGGGCCCATGGGGACCACAGGGGCACGGGGGACACCTGGGTATGAAGGGACACAAGGATATGGGACAGCAGGGGAAATAAAGAAGTGGGGACACAGGGACAGATGGACACAAGGAACAGCGTGACACAGGGGGATACTGGATAAGGGGACATGAAGACTAGGGGGACAAAGGGACAGTGAGATGGCTGGATAGGGCTGGACATGGGGACATGTGGATATGGGGTGCAGTGGGAGCAGGGACGTGGGGACTTGGGGGAACTTGGGGGACACAGGAACAGGGGATGGATGGACATGGGGACACAGGGAACGGGGACATGGGCATTTGGGGCAGTGATCGGCCACGCTGCCATGAGGACACATGGCTCGGTGTCAGTCGCAGCAGGAAAGTGGCCGTGGCGTGTCACCGTGCGGGGAGCCGGGCACACACCGACCGACACGACCGTGTCTGTGCCGAGCAGCCCCGGACCCGCCCGCCGGTTCCATGGAGCTGCTTTTACTCGGCCCTGCCGGTACCGTCCCCGTCCCTCCCGCAGCAGCCCGTGCCGAGGGAACGGGGACAGCGACGGGGACAAGGTGGCAGAGAGCAGCCCTGAGCTGTGGGGAGGGGACAGAACAACCGCACCGGTGCCAACCCGGTGCCCACCGTGCCCGCTGTTCCCCGCCCCGGTTCCCGTTCGCGGCCCCCGCCGTGCGTCAGCGCTGTCCCCACGGCGGGGGCGGCGGCGGGGGGGACAGAGGGACCCTTGTTTTGTGTCACTGCGGGCGCCCTCGGCCCCGCGCCTCAATGTGGCCCTTGTTCCGGGTGTCCCCGTTAGCGTTTGCTCCGGGGCCAGGCTGTCCCCAGCAGGAGGAAGGCGACAAACCGGGGGACACATCAGCCACGCGTGTCACCCTTGCCTTGGACCCCACGGCTCTGTCCCCAGCTCCTGGGCTCGGGACCCCAAACGCCACCACCCCCCCCCGCCAGGGCTGGCCCTGCCAGCGGCCACGTCCCCAGGAACACGAGCGGGGATCACGGTCACGCTTCCCGGTTATTTTGGGGAGGATAAATCAGGCAGGCGACAGGTGCGGGGCCGCGGCAGCCGGGGGTGAGTGACGGTTCAAGGGCAGCGCCGTGGGCAACGTGAGGCTCCGGAGCCCCGGCTGTCCCCGGTTTGGCGTCCCGGCTGTGCCCGGTTTGGCGTCCCGGCTGTCACCGGCTCCAGAGCCCCGGCTGTCCCCGGTTTGACGTCCCGGCTGTCCCCGGTTTGACGTCCCGGCTGTCCCCGGCTCCGGAGCCCCGGCTGTCCCCGGTTTTGGCATCCCGGCTGTCCCCGGCTGTCCCCAGATCCACCGGCCCGGCTCCGGAGCTCCGGCTGTCCCCGGGTTTGACATCCCGGCTGTCCCCGGCTCCAGAGCCCCGGCTGTCCCCGGCTCTGGAGCCCCGATTGTCCCCGGTTTGGCGTCCCGGATGTCCCGGCTCCGGAGCCCCGGCTGTCCCCGGTTTTGGGATCCCGCCTGTCCCCGGCTGTCCCCAGATCCACCGGCCCGGCTGTCACTGGGTTTGGCATCCCGGCTGTCCCCCGGTTGGGCCCCGGCTGCCGCCGGCTCCAGTGCCGCAGCTGTCCCCAGATCCACTGTCCCGGCTGTCCCCAGATCCACTGTCCCGGCTGTCCCCAGCTCTGGCATCCCGGCTGTCCCAGCTCCAGTGCTCTGTTTTTTCCCCGGCTCCAGCGTCTTGTTTTTATCCAGCCCAAGTGTCCCAGCTGCTCCCAGCTCTGACATCTCCACTGTCCCGAGCTCCGGCTGTCACCATCTCCTGTCCCCAGCTCTGACTGTCCCTAGTCCGGCTGTCGCAGCTCCCGTGTCCTGTTTGTTCCCTCGGGCTCTGCCCTTCCGCTATGTTCTGGCTGCCCCCAACTCCAACATCCCGGTTTTTCCCCCTCTCCAGCGTCCCAGCTGTCCCCAGCCCCTGTCCCCCCTTCCCAATCCCCGAATTTAACTAAAAAGGAAAAATATTAACACACAAGGCACCAAGGTCCCGCCCAGTGGCTCTCACTGTACGTACAAGTTTATATACAGAAAATGGCCAAAAAGAGGGAAACCCAGAAAAATATATATAAAGGGGAAGGGGCCGAGGTTGAGGGGGCCGGAGCCACCCCTCGCCCACGCCCCCCGCTCTGTACAGGACCCGGCCGGCGCTATTTACATCAGGGGCGTTTTTACAGGGGAAAAGGGCACCGCGCTGGCGATGCCCCCGGGGAAGACGGCACCAGGGCTGCTGGGAGGCCACGCCCTGGGCCGTGAAGGCACGTGGGGCACCCCCAAAGGTGCCCCCAAGAAGACTCAGGCATCTGAGGGGGGACCCAGATATCCTGGGAGTGATCCCAGGCATCCCTGGAGTGGTGCAGGGGTGGTCCCAGGCATCCCAGGAGTGATCTAGGGGTGCCCAGGGGATGTTCCAGATATCCTGGGAGTGATCCCAGGCATCCCAGAAGCGATCTAGGGGTACCCAGGGGATGTTCCAGGCATCCTGTGGATGACCCAGGAGGGGCTTCCAGGTGTTCTGGGGGTGATCCAGGGGATCCCAGGCATCCCTGGAGTGATGCAGGGGTGGTCCCAGGCATCCCAAGAGCGATCTAGGGGTACCCAGGGGATGTTCCAGGCATCCTGTGGATGACCCAGGAGGGGGTTCCAGGTGTTCTGGGGGTGATCCAGGGGTGTGCATGGAGTCTTGGGAATGGCCTGGGTGTCCCAGAGGTCATCCAGGGGTCCACAGGGATGTCCTGGGCATCCCAGAATTGATCCAGGAGTGACCAGGGCAGGTTCCAGGCATCCTGGGAGTGATCCAGGGATGGCCAGGTGGTTTTTGGGCATTCTGAGGGTCACCCGGGGGGGGTCCCAAACATCCCAGGGCTGATCTAGGGGTACCCAGGAGATATTCCAGGCATCCCAGGGGTGACCCAGGGGTTCCCAGGGTGTTCCCAGGCATCCTTGGACTGAACCAGGGTTGCCCAGGGCGGGTCCCAGATGTCCCCAGGCAGGTCAGGGGCTCATGGCAGCCCCTTGCCCGGGACTCAGAAAGGCAGAGTGTCCATGAAGATCTTGTCTACGATGGGTGGTGGCGGCACCAGATCCTCCAGCTTGAGGTAGAAGATGCGCTGGAGGCCCTGGGTGCAGAGGCTGCGCAGCTCGGGCAGCTTCCCCAGCAGCTTGGAGAGGCAGCTGGAGCGGCCGGGCTCAGCCCCTGCTGCTGCCACGTGGTCCTTGAGGCAGCCCACGATGCGGTTCTGCAGCTCCTCCACCCGCT